TGATGTGTCATTGGTCACTTTGTGCTTCTTTAATGCTGTGCTGAAGTTGTTTTGATGTTTTTTTTTTAAAGCTCTTCATGTCGTATTCAAACAGAGTTTCAACAAGTGTGTCTTTGTCAGTGAATCACAGAAAGTGTGTATGTGATTCTCAAACAGTATTTGTCATACGCTCTTAACTCTTTGAGAGAGAAACTATTACTCAGCATCAGCAGACAGCTTTTATTAAATATTGTGTCTATATGGTAAACTATAACTGACTCATTAAATGAAATCAGCAGTATTTCTACTTCATTAATTCTTTTACTTTAGTTCACTGTACAGAAGGTGTTAAACAGCAGAGGTACAGAAATACAAATAACTCCCAAATATAAGCTGCTGTACTTCACAATGAAAACCAGTTAAATGCTCCTAAACTGCAGTAGAGCTACATGTGAGTGAAGTACAGGTCATAATTATCTTACACTTCACACAGACACACAGGGGAAAAAATGGATCCTTTCGGGTCAGATTCCAGTTATACGAACTGAACACAGACTCCTAGAAACGATCTCAAACACAGAAACACACAGCAGAGCTTCACTGTTCGCCCTCATAGTTACGCTGAGTCTGGATAAACCATCAGCACAGCGATCAAACTAACTAGCGAATACTAACTGTGATTACTGCAAATACTGTAATCACAACACTTACTGTAGTTCATTCAGACTATCAAATCAGTCAGATTACACTTGGTAGGTGGTCTGGCATTTCAAGGATGATCAGCTGGTCTTCTAGATGGATTTTGAGCATCAGGTCTCAGACAGGTGAATTAGTTACAGAACCAGCTGGAATCAACCTGCTGTTCTCAGACTATTATGCTAGACTGTACACTTCAGAAAGCTCTTCAAATAGTACTGTAAATTTAGATCTTCTTAACTCTCTTGAGTATCCCATAATTGATGAAAACATTGCTAAGACTTTAGGCGACCCAGTTACAGAATTCGAGATACAGGTATCGATTAAATCCATGAAATCTGGAAAGTCTCCTGGCCCTGACGGCTTTACAGTTGAATTCTATAAAGCTTTTGCTCCCCTTTTAGCACCTATTTTAGTAAATCTATACAGTGACTCATTTAAAGCGGGCTTCCTTCCTCCTACCTTATCTGATGCTTCGATTTCTTTGCTCCTCAAAAAGAATAAGGATCCTACTTCTTGCGGTAGTTATAGAGTTTATAGCTACACTCTAAATGTAGATTTTTAAATTCTGGCTAAAGTTTTATGTTCTCTTCTTGAACGTGACCAAACAGGCTTCACACCAGGAAGACACTCATTTTTTAACACCAGAAGGCTTCTCAACATTCTCTTCTCCCGCCCATCTGACTCACCTGAAATGATTGTGACTCTGATCTATTTCAAATCAAAAAGAACTGCTTATGCTGCATATATGTAGCACTGTTTGTTCAAAATAAATGAAAAAAATACATTTCCTGTTGTACCGACCTTGTATTGAACTGTGACCCCAAAACCGAGGTACGTACCGAACCGTGACTTCTGTGTACCCCTACTGGATGGTGAAAACGACATCTCCCAACGGCACTCTCCTTCATAGCATCATCAAGCTTCGCCTTTGTTATTGTTTTAAAAATACAACCACTAGCAGCGAAAACTTACATATTGTGCCTTTAATAAGAAAATCCTGCATATCCTAAATCGAATGTTTGCATTTTTTTTGTTTAAAGAAACTTGCATAAATAAATTAGACATTCTAATTATCCAATCAAAGAATGTGAAAATGCTGACGTTATCGTATGCTTGCTGGATCAAAGCCACTAGAAGGCAAGCCTGCGACCTTTAGCCAAAAAAACGTAACGGCTAATGCTAACGCTTCCGCTTTGGCAGTACGTGGGAAAGGAGTCCAGAGGCCATTTTTTTTATGGATGTCAATGGAGGAGAGGCTTCACTACACTGAATAAACAGCTTTTGTGAGGAAACGGCTTATCATTTAATGAATCGACAGCTTATTGGCTAATCTTCAACATGTTTTATACCAAACAATACTTTTGGATTGAACTATTTTTAAAGTTTACACAAAAAAAATTGCCGTTTTATAAGAGAAGACTTTTTGTGACTGGTGGGATTCAGCTTACGGTTTTTCTCATTCATTCCTATGGTATTCATAAACGGCGATTGAGTGTCGCACAACTCTGATTGAAGTTCAATGTAATGTTGGCTGTAATGTGATTGGTTATGAAGGCACACATGATCCAAGCCGACCGTTACACTTTCTCCAATAGTAAGTAATACAGACACTCGTATCTCCCAATACCTTGTTTTTACATATGGAGAAGCCGTCATTTTGAGCAAACATGCTTAGTTTCATTCATTTCTGATGCTTGGAGGCCATTTCAACT